AAGAAACGATCCAGCTCCCAGCCCTGGGCTTTGGCTGCCGATGCCACAGGGCTCCATGCCCACAGATCCACCCAGGATCCACCCTCGGCTGTGGCTTGTGACTCAAACCCGACGGGATCCAGGCAGCCCTGGAGAAGGGGCAGCTTTTTGCTGGAGCTGAGCGAGCGGGAAGAGCAGGGTTTGGGGCAGGCAGCCAGGCAGCAGCCGCTGCTCTCGCTTCCCTGGGGAGGAGCGGGTATTTATAGGCACCGATGGAGGGGAGCTGGGAAGGGCTCAGGCCTCCCAGAGAACGAGTCCTTGGAGCAGAGCACCCGAAACAGCTGAAGCACAGGGATGGAGGAAGGGGCGAGCACAGGGTCAGGGTGCAATGCCGACAGCAGCCCTTTTGCCCTTTCCCTTGCCAGCCTCGCCGGCATCTCCCGCAGCACCACCGTGGTCGTTGCTTACGTCATGGCCGTCACGGAGCTGAGCAGCCAGGAGGTGCTGGAGGCCATCCGAACCGTCCGGCCCGTCGCCAACCCCAACCCCGGCTTCAGACAGCAGCTGGCTGACTTCGGCAGCGGCGCAGCCCGCAAGGTGGGACCAAGCTCTTCCAGCCCCGCTCGGCTCCACAGCGGAGCCTGCCCATGGGTCTTGGAGCAAGGATGAGTCCCCGAGGGGCCAGGTGGCTTCTCGGCTCCCCTTGCTGGCAGGCTTGGACCTGCCCTTGGAAAACAGGCACCTTAGTTTGCTTCTCCCTCCTTCCCCAGGTCCGCAGGTCCCTGAAGCAGAGGTATGGGACATCCCCTTTCAACGACGAGGCAGAAATAAAGGCTTTGCTGCCAGCGGGGAGAGGAGGACCGACCAGGACAGAGGGAGCTCTGCAAGGACTGGTCCCAAGAGCCAGAGACATCAGAAGCACGACTCCCTTCCTGCTGCGGGTGAAGAGGACGTTCTCCTGCATCCCAGCTTGTCTGAAGTGACCCCAGCCAGGGGAGAGTGGCAAGAACCACCCAACAGCCTGGGAGAGACGAAGGAGCCGCAGCGCAGCGGCCGGGGGAGCTCCGGGGGAGCAGGGGAGCTGTGCCAAGCCCAGCTCCTTCTTCTCTTCTGGGGTGCGAGCGTGCCTGGCTGCGAGGGATTCGCGTGTGCTGCCAGGCTCCGCAGCGCGGTGGGCTCAGCTCTGTGCACCCAGCATGTTGGGGACATGGGGTGAACGGTGCAGGTCTCTGTCCCCCCCTTGCCACGGGCTCCTGCTTGGAGCAGAGCGGCAAAGCAGGGTCTCTCCTGCCACAGGGCCAGCACCCAGGTGATGCCCGCAGCAGCTTCTGCACTTGGGTACCCGCTGCACGAGCCTTGGGGTACACAAGGTGCGCGAGACCCGGCGCTCCCCTCGGAGTGGTTTTCCCACCAGCAGCACAAGCTCCCGGCAGCAGGGTGGCTGCGGAGCAGGGACACGTGGATGCTTTAGCAGGTGATGCCACCGCGCCGGCTCCCAGGCAAGGCTCCAGCTCCAGCCCAGCCAAGCACAAGCCCTGAGCGAGCACCGCAGCTTTAGGAGTCCATCGCAACCCATTCCCACCCATCCCAGGGCACAACCTTTAAGAGGTGGGAACTAAGCGTTTAACCCAGCCAGACCTCACTAAAGCAGAGCCTTAAGTCATTTTGCTTAAAGAATTTCTATATGTGTGTGTCCCCATAATAAATACCTGTTCTCCGAGGTCTGCCTGCGCGCAGCCCGACTCCCTGCGATGGCCGGATCGGGACGGGGATGCTGAGGAGGAAGGTCCCGGTGTGGGACAGGTCTGGAGGCTGGTGCTGGCCACTCTCTGTAGCCCAGGGAGGAGTGGGGAAGCAAAACCTCGCAGGGAGGTTTTGGGGTGGGTTTCAGACTTGCCTCTCTCTGTGGGGCCAGGATTTGCCCCAGGCAAGGTCAGGCAGCAGCAGGCAGGTACTCACGAGGAGCCTGTTTCACTGCAGCCTCTCTACCCACCAGGTCTGGAAACACTGGGTCCAGGACCCTGCTGGTTCTGGCTACTGGCAGCACAGCACCAGCTGTGCATCACAAACTTCAGCCCCTCCCCAAACCTGCCCTATTTATACCTTCCTGTGGGGCAGATTTCCAGGTGGAGCAAATGCTGGGGATGCCCAGCTGGGTCATCAATATCTCCCCTGCTGGGGGCCAGACTACATTTCTGGGGTCCCTTTGTCCCTGCCACCCCTCTCCCATGGGGGAGGGTGCCCCAGGAGCCAGACAGGGTCAGGGACAGGTGCCTGCGGGGAGGTTTCCAGCTCTGTGTGTAATGGGGTGCCAAGCGTAGGGGGCCCATAGTGAAGCAGGGGCTGCCTCTGCCCTGCCTGCTGCCAGAAGACTCATGGTGCTCTGCCCTGCCTGCTGCCAGGAGACTCATGGTGGGGCAGGATGAACCCATCAGTAATTAACAGCCGCTCGTTTACCCTGCATAGCAGCTGCAGCTGATGGCGAGCTGGGCATCCTGAGGGTCCCTTGGAGCGCGCCGTGCCAGTGCTCGAGCAGTGTGGGACCCGACTCCCACCTCACTGAATAGATGCTGAGCCCACCGAATCTTCCCCTGCTCCTGCATCCTCGGCTGTGGGGTCCCCCTCTCCTCCCAGGCTGCTCTCCCCACTCCCTCACCCCCAGGCCAGGGCTCTCCAGCACCCTTGGCCCCCCCAGCACCCAGCAGGTTGGTGGTCCTGCACCCCAGGACCACACAGCCAGGATGGATGTGTGCCTCGTGCTGGCTGCACCCTCCCATCAGCCCCACGCCGGGACACACGGTGCCCAGGGGTTTGCACCCTGTAAACCCACAGCGAGGCCGAACGCTGAGCAACAGCCCCTCCAGCCCAGCTCCACGGCACAGCAAAATGTATTTATTTTGGCAGATCTGGTTTGCACCACTGGAAAAACCCAGGCGAGGGCAGGGTGAGCTGTGAGTTAATGTTTGACTCCTTTTGAAGCCCATTTCAGCATGAAAAGTTTAAGGGTTAAGCAGCTTCGCTGTCCCTGCGCAGGGAGCAGCACGGCGGGGGAATCCAGCTCCTGAGCATCTTCCCTGACTCCAGGGTTATTACATCCCATGGGTCCTGCGTCTCAGGGGGCAGCTGTTGGAGGAGATGAAATCCCCAGCTGATAGAGGCTTATCCAGTCGGGCTGGGGCTGGCTAAGGGCCTCGATTAGCTCCCAGCCTTGGAGTAATCTGGGCAAGCTGTTGGCTGTGCAATGACCCCTCACCATTGCCCCGCTTCCCAAGGCGGAACAGGGAGATGTGTCCGTCAGTCCCGGGCTCTTTTCCCAGAACAGAGCTCACAGCTTGCCCTGACAAGGGGCACGGAGTGGGGGGGCAGGGCAGAGGGTTGGAAATCCCCATCCTCACTGGTGCTGTGCAGGGAGCAGAGCAGCTTCCCTGAGCGTGGTGGGGTGCCAGCCTGGCAGCACCAGCGACCACGGCCCAACCCTGGCTGGTCCCAGGGGGTCCCTACCTGCTGCTTCCTTCCCCCTCCCCAACTCAGGACCCTCCCCAGCTCAGCGCCACAGCCCTGGCATCTTCCTCATCCCAGGCGGGGAGAGCCATGCTGTGGGCAGCCCCCAGGGTAGCCACGGCCCCGCACCCTGAGCAGGCGCAGGCAGGGTGAGCGAAGGGGCCACGGT